AGATGGCAAAGAAAAAAATTTCCACTCTATCCTCTTAATGTACTTCTAGGGAATTAGTAAGGTCTGTCTCCTATACCACTTCTATTTTTAGCTTTGACTGGCAGAGAATGAAGCTGACTCCTTAATGAGGGCGAGCCAGGAATTTATTTGGCTTTATCTAATCTGCCCTGTTAAAGGAATTAGTCACGGGAGGTAGTGCAGATGTAGGTAGGGAGTAGCTGGGCTGACAGTGCTGACTCACAGGGATCTCTTCCGCTGCTGGCAGCCTCCAACGTGCTTAGACATGTTCTGTACCCGGGCAAATCCTGATGATGAAACTAGGACTTCTCGGCCGAAAGTCCGACCACACTCCAGTGGGGCAAAGGCGGCCACCCTCGTGACACCCCCCACCCCCACCCCCAACTCCAGAGCTGCAGTCAGGCTCTCTTTGCCCTTCCTTACTTCCGTCCCGAGTCTACCCGAACGGCCCGTCCCGAGTCTCCTTCTCGCTTACCGTCACCAGGACACAGTGCAGGTCAGAAGGCTGCTCGGCGCCCTCGCTCGCCGCCGGGCTGGCCTCGGACTCCAGGAGCAGGAGCTTGGCCAGACGGCCCGGGTTGCTGACACGCAGGATGTTGATGTCGTTCTCGCAGCAGAACGCCTGGATCAGGGTGAAGTGGATCTGCAGAGCCACGTCCCTGTCGTCGTCCTCGTCGGCCGCCAGCAGGCACAGCACCACGTTATCTGGGTCGCTGAGGACAGCAGCAGGGCCTGGTGAGCGCCTTGGCACCACCGGCCCGCGCATGTGCCGGCAACCCTCGGCCAGCCTCCCCGGTGTCCCCGCGGGTCGCGCTCGGGTCACTCGCTGCCCCCCCCTCCTCATCCCCCCTTCCTCACCCCCCCAAGACAAGCCAACGGGGAAGTAGCTGGATGGCCGTGGAGAGCAGCGCTGTAGGGCCAGGGGCCCGCTGCGAGGGCGACCTCCCCTGGCTGGGGCTGGAAGGGGTGCCCCGAGGGAGCAGGTCAGGACCCCCCACTTACACGTTAAGCAGCTTGGCCGCCTCATACACCCCGACAGTGATGGTGCGTTGACTCAGGGCTTTGCTGAGCACTTCTTCGAGGGCATCCCCCACCTTATCCATCCTAAAGGCAGACACGGACCGAAGAAAGGGGCTCATGAGTCCAGATCGCCTGGAGCTCCGGCGGCACCCGTGCACTGGGCTTTCAGCAACGCAAAGCTCCCGGTGCTCCCGCCAACCACCCCTTCTCACACTCCCAGGGTCCCCAGGGAAGCCCATGAGAAGGGGGGGGGCGCATCCGCCACTCTGCAGAGAGGACACGGCTGGCCCGCGTACTGGATGCAGCCCCCGGCTGCCAGCTGCAGGAGCCGCTTGGCAGGACGATCGGGCTGCCCTTTGCAAAGGCCCACGGGCGGGACCGGGCCGAGTTGGAGAGGGGGTGGGCAGGCGATCCCTTCTGCAAACTTTTCCGCCTGCACACCTCCTACGGCCCCTTGCACCCGGGAGTCGCAGGAGGGGCTTGGAAGGAGCTCTGGAGATTCCCACCTGCAAGTCCGCAGACGAACTTACCTTTCGGTCTTCTGCTCGCCAGCCGAGAATTCCTCCAAAGTCATATTGCAACTGCAAATCCCCCACCGAGAGCGGCGTGCAAGCTGCTCTGGGACCGTGGGCACGCGGTGATGTTCTCTGCACTCCTCGAATAGACACCCGGCTCCGGCCCCGGCACTGCCCGGCCGCCCCTCGCCTGCCCGGGCTCCTCCTCCAGCGCCCGCCGCCGCCGCCGCCGCCGCGCCTTCCGCTTCTGGCGCCCGTCCGCTCGCTCGCTGGGTGACCCGCGACACCAGCCGCGGACTGACTATGGCAGCTGCCCCACAGCCACTGAAGGACAAAGGGCCCGGCTCGCGGGAGTTATCCTGCCAACCTCCAGCAACCCCCACCTATCTTATTTGCATACGAGACAGCCATTGGGCTATGCAAATAAGTCGGCTCGGGCAATTTGACCCCAGCGCCTGGATCCCGGCTGAGGAGCGGAAGGGGGTGGAGCGCCGCGCGAGGGGCGGTGCCACGGCCCCGCGAGAGGAGGGCGGGGTCCCGAGCGGCTTCTCGAATCCCGTTGGCTGGGCCCATCAGTGGAAAAGGGCTTTGCCGTTGAGGGGAGGAGGGGCCGGTGCGTGTGTCTTCAACTTGGGCTGCAGGAGGCTGCCAAGTGTTTTTCTAGTTGGTGCACATTTTTTAATTATCGTTTCATGTCTTTTGTTTTTAGGAGTTGCTATTAAAATCTATTTCCAGGGTTAATGCACCCAAGTCTAGTAATTACCAGTAAGCTGGTTACATAAAAAGAGTGCGGCCAGACCTCTGGGGTAAAGTTTACCTCAGAAGTGTTGTTTATGTAAGTCCCAGCAAAGCCGCTTATTAGTAGTAGTATTATTTCGGTGCCCTGATGGCTGGTTTGGTTTATTTTTGGAAGGTTGCAAGGGTTGGAAGCTCAAAAAAGAAAAACCAACACATTTGTGTTTGATGGTGGCCGGGAACCAAGCTGGAAGCTCGTGCACAACAGACAGAAAGGCTCTCCCACCTGCACGGTGTAACTGGGAAACCAGTGCACATGGGAAGGGCTGGTGGCCACATGTGTGGTTCCCAGCTGGACCACCCCAATTCACCTTTTCCCAGAGGCCTTTGCCAAAGAGGGATCCTCCTGCACCCGTGAAAGCCAGGAGACAAATGTCTGACACCCACACATGCCACAACCTCAGCTCCAGATGCCCTAAGCTTCCTTTCAGAAGGGAAGGGATAACAATGTCACTCCCTTCCACTGGGCGCCTGTGAGCTCACCATGAATTATTAATGCGAGATGCTGAATCATGACGCCGGGGCTATAGAATGTTTTAGTCATATGCTAAAATTTCACCTGTGAGATAATGGCCACCTGTGGGTGGAAAGCAGACCTTTCTAAGCAGCAGTTACTTGTTTTTGAAACACAAACATTGTATGTAGAGGCTTTCACTGAATGGGTTGAAAGTTCCTGCCTCGGTTTTATGAATCTGTGCAATAATTGCAAAAACTTTCCTTAAGCCTACTGAAGTCTCCCCCAAAGTGGTGACAAGGCCTCCCAACATGGCTGCACTCAAAATGGTGCTTGTGTTCTTGCGGTCACCCTGCAGCCAGAGGTCACAGAAGATACCAGGACCAGGAGAGAGTGGTACAGAGGCAACCCGGTGTGCGCTTCAGTGGCTGATTTGGTGAAGTCCATCTCTAGTCCTTACTTTAAGGCATCTTATTTTAAGACATCTCTGGGTGGCCTCAAACCTTCCTGTTAGCAGCTGAACAAGTTCATCAGCCGCACCAGCCAGGGAGCCACAGGTTCGGAGGAGTTTTTGCATCCGTCTGTTCCTAGCGACAAGCTGGGGTGGTGTGATGGTGAGCAACCACCTGTGGCTATTGAAAAAGTGTGAACTCACTCACCACTCCAGGGGTGAAAGATGGGGCAGTCTGCGTCCATGGAGGTCTCAGTCTCGGAAACCCAATGGGCCGATCCGACGCTGTCCTGTTAGGTTGCTGTGAGAAGGAACAAACACAGTGGTAAAGGGTTTCATTTGTTGGAGTTTACGGTTAAGTCATCTGAGGCAAAATATTCTGTCTCTCAATCTTCATTTAATGGACAAGTTTCTGGTGCACTTATTCAAGCCCTTGTTTTTCACTCAATCCCTGTGGTTGCACTGTCAGTCGGGGTAAGTATTTGAGTAGAGGCTTGGTTGCAGTTATTGTTTAATTTGCAAAAGGGCACTTGGGTGTCTCTCATAGCTATACTTCAAATTCTAACATGTGGTGTCTTCGTTAAAGAACTCGAGATTAAAATGTAGGCAGGTGCTAAAGCATTTGCAGTTTTGCCAACGACACCTGGATTACACAACCTTGTCTGAGTCATCATTTGGAAATGGTAGAGCGGTGTTCCACGGAACTCCAACACTCTGGACAGTAAGTTCGCTGGGAAAAAAGGGTGCAGGCATCCCCAGATTATGAATACATTTCATTCCTAAATCGGTCTTTAAGCCAACTATGTACATCCAAACAATGAGGTGTGGTTAGTATCAATGTTAATCAGATGCTGCTCTTCATATAGAATGTACCTTTCTAAGGAGCCCTGGTGGTCATATATTGGGCTGCTAAACACAAGGTCAGCAGTTCAAAACCTCCAGCTGTTTCATGGGAGAAAGATGAAACTTTCTACTCCCGTAAAGAGTTTAGAAGCACAAAGGGACAGTTTTGCTCTCTTCTATAGGGTCACAATGAAGCAGAATCAACTCGATGGTAGTAGGTTTTGAGTTTGATACCTTTGTGTGTGTGTGTGTGTGTGTATGTATGTATAAACACTTCTAGACACACAAAAATACCTTTAACATTAGGCCAGGTTGACTAGAGAAACAAATCCAGTGACACTCATATATGAATAAGAAAGAACTTTATGTCAAGAAGTAATTATATATCAAGAAAACATCCCAGCCCAGTCCAACTCAAGCCCATAAGTCCGAAACTAGTTCATAAGTCCCTCTTCAGACTCATGCAGCCACATGCAAGGATACAGAACGCAGGAAGATCACAGGCTGGTGGGGGAAAGTCTTGTGGATCCAATGGCGATGAAAGCATCAAAGGGCTCCTGCAGGTCCCCAAGTGGCTTAGCAACAGGAAGATGAAGGCAGCAAGAGAGTGGAGGTTCCAAGGACCCTTCTTTTGAGAAGGCCACACCCACAAGGAGGCTCCATCAGGTTGTGACCTGATCGACAGGCTAGACTCCATCCCTACAATTTTATATCTTCAAGTTGACATGAAATTATGTATCTACCACATGGGGGCTGGCTCATAACTACAGGTTCTACCTCAACATTTGTAACCTGGGTGCTGCCTGCAGTCATGAGTCATAGAAAGGACCATGACCTTCACCAGCCACATGGCCTCAGCACCTAGCACGGGCCTTTACTTCATGCATTGAATAGATGCACAATGTTTACTGAGTGGAACAGAATCTGAAATTTCAACAAGATATCACAACTCCTTTAGCCTTGTAGATTGCATGCATTTCCTTCAAGAGAGTTCATGTTTAACTTCAGTTTAAAAGCAAACAAACAAACAAACAAAAATCTCAACAACTGTACATTTTTAATACTTTGCCTTTGAACAGCTTCTGGATGAATGGGTATGTCTATGCTTGAATGGGGTTTTAGGACAACATACTAAGTATTGTCATCAGCTGGCTATGCTGGAAGCCCCATGACTTTAGTCACCTGAATGGAAGCTGTAGGACAGTAGAACCCATGTATTGTTTACATCATTTCAAATGAGCCGCTGTTGTAATAATGCCCTGAGCAAGTCAAGTAGGGGTAGTAAAAATGTGGCATAAAATGGTTAATCTTAATAGAGGTCAAGTTCTTCATGTGAAAAACAGCAGCGCACATTCTGTTTGATCTCATAAGAAAGGTATGGGGATTTTCTCTGAGAGAGAAGCCCAGGCTTCCAGGAGGCAAAAATACTAATTCGTCATGTGTTCTGACTCAGATATATTACATCATTTGGCCTTACTCCTGAGTCTGCCTTGAATGCTTAATCAGTTATTATCTTCAAATTTTGGTCTTAGCTGGAAGGAGCTGTATCTAGAATGCAGTTACAACTTAGAATAATCATGGATGATTTCTCCCATAAATGCTCATTGGTCCTGGGGAAAAGAATAGGAGTTCATATTCAGTAAATCAGAGAACTTTTCTTAGAGGAATCTAGGATATGCATATTTGTATAACTGGTATTAGAACGTCAGTATGTGAAATGATTTCTACAACTATTTCAGGTAGCTCTGAGTATTTCAACTGTACAAGATTAGAATGACTTGGTAGTGATTATTGAAAGGCTGCCAAATGGTCATATTTGGAAGTCAGATAGAAATATGTACGCAAGAATTGTGGGATTATGTTAACATTGCCACCTAATTTGCATATGAAACATTTGGGTAACATTTTCTTCATTTAAATGTATATCCTTACTACTCGTTCTATCATACAGAATGATAACTTTTTTCCCTTTTAAATAATAGTCCATCTGTTGATATCTGAAGTAGGATGTTTGTTATTTTAGTATTAGAAATATCTTTGTTCACAGTAAAGGAACAGACAGGTCAGACTATGACAGCTAGACCTACCACCTATGTAGAAGAGCACTATATTTTATTATGAGAAGTTATAAGGCTCCTGATGTGAGGGAGATTCAAATAATTCACTGAAAAATCTATTATCTCTTCTTTGTTTTTCCTTGATCTCTTTGAAGTTTTCTCACATATGCTAGTGCATGTATACGTGTCTATATTTGTACCAGTGTGTGTGTGTATTTAGAAAATGCTAGACATATCTTTTATACAAGTCTGGTAAAGGTATTTTCTAAATGCACACACTTGTACAAATACACAAATATATATGGAAATATATATATATATTTGTAAGAGTGTGTGTATACATACATACATATATATATATTTGTAAGAGTGTGTGTATACATACATATATTTATATATATATATTTGTAAGAGTGTGTATATACATACATATATTTATACAAGCAGCCTGGTAAAGTTAGTTTCTAAATACAGTCTAAATGCAGACCTGAGAATTTCCATCCTTTGTAAAGATCACTCAAGTGAATTTTATTATCACCTAAAAATGTATCTTGTTTTAGGATCACTAACTATCCTATTTGGTTTAAAGTTGAAGGCTTAGTTT